ATATAGGGGCCTTAACAATTACCTATACTATTTTGGGGCTTCTTTATTTTATTTATAGTATAATATATCCCAAAGCCCTATTCTAACTAATCATTAAGGCCCCTATATCAGGTAGGGATTTAGGGTTTAGGATGTAGAGCTTAAGCTTAGGATTCAATGGTTTACTTTGTGGCTTAGGTTTCAAAGTGGCATGTCAACCTGCGGGGTCCTTCCAGGCCACCTGTGAGGGGGAAGCTGTCAAGCCAAGTTTGGGTAATATCGGTCTCGGAATACCAACCAATGGTATTCCTTGGGGTTCGTTTATTTAGAGTCATAGCATAATGTACCGCCGGAAAACTTGAATGTAATTGTAATTTCAAGGCCCCCTATATTATGCTTCCGAACATGTGCTTTCCGAGTCCGTGCTGGTTGCAGCTTTGTTGTAAAGGTAGGGTAGCACTTTCGCAATCGTCGCTTCCAGCGTCTGTCAGAGTTTGTTGACATTGGTAAGCCACAGAAAGCTACCTGTGATGTGTTAGGTTGTTGGGGCCAACAGTCATGCTACAGTTTGCTACTCAGCTGTGGAAGGTTGTTAGACGAACCTGGATATGCACCAGTTGGTCATCATGAAACAGAGTAGAACTTAATCCCTCGGCCTCCAAGCTCTTTAAACCCAAAGCCTGAACCCTCGCCCCTTGAACCCATTCGAACGCTAAACCCTAAAACCCAAAAGCCCCAATGCCTCAAGGGGGCCCAGCACAAATCGAAGTCAGGGTTCTGGGCTTTGCTTGACTTCTTGAGAGGCTGCTGGAGTGGCGTTTAGGGTTGAGGGTTTAGGGTTTAATTTAAGGCGCTTAGGGGCCAGAGATTTGGTAGAAGGTTTAACATTTTAGGGTGTCAGGTTTTGACAAGATCTGCTGTTCCTTTGTTCATGCTTGCTTGTTTCGGTGCTCGATACACGCCCGTCGAGATAGAGCCATTGTCAGTACTGCCTGTAGTACTGGTATAGGACGTCAAGCTTTTAAGGCTCCTTGGCTTCAGGGGTGCAGAGTTGTCAGCGTCACATTACGTCGCGCTTATGACGCTAAGGTGGTCGTTTGAAGATTCACTTTCGCAGTAAGAAATGCTAGCTTGCTTTCACGGCTGCCACAAGGAGATGCTCCACAGGAAGTCCTTTGCCAGCTGCCCAGAAATTCGAAGCTGTCAAGTCAGTTTGTGTGCGTTTTCGGGGCATGTGGGATTTGCTAGGTTTCGGGCCTAGGGCCCCTAGAACTTAAACTGATGTCGGCCCGACCCCCGTAGTGAGAGCTTGCGGGGGTTTCAAGTTGGCACTTGGTTCCGAGGGCGGCCGGAACCGAGAGGAAGCCTACCATTTTAAATGGGCCGTTTATAGGCAACTGTCCTTTCGATGTTAACAAGGGCCGCGTTGGGTACTGACTAGTTTTGGGGCCGGTATTTCAATCCTACTCAGGACATTGATGCCTTTTGATGACAAGTTGACGAGAGATTTACCAATACTTTTCCTTGGGGTTCCTTATTGGAAATAGTTGCCCTACACCCTAAACCCTAAACCCCTAAACCCTAAACCGTAAACCCTAAACCCCTAAACCCTAAACCCTCCAAGTATGAAGGTCCCTATAGTAGTCCGAAGAGGCAGCCAAGGGAAGCTG